AATTGAAAATAATTGCTTTTACAAACAAGTACATGTATCGACGTAGCAGTTATCCAGATATTCTAATTCTTAATGCTATTTTTTGATATTTCAATCATCTCTATAACTCTGGGCATAAACAAATTTTTATTACGATTTAGTTAAACAAAAATTATATGATTTTTTTTTTAGAACGCTCTAATAATAGAATCAATTATAATCAATTAACATGATTAACAAAATACCAAATGATATAGAACCTAGAATAAACCCGTTGTGTACAATGCAATGATAAAGAATTGAGTTACCTTGTGAATAACAGTTTATTGTAATTTGAAGTTCAAATATGCTTTTTGTGTGTTTGTTATTAACTGAAATTCCTTATTCTCGTATGTTCAGATTTGCATTTTGTGTGTTTGAGAATAAATGAAATTTTTGAGATTTTCGTTTTGATTGGTTACTAGAAAGGCAGTACAAAAGATGCTTATCGCCAGAGAATTTTATATTTTTTATAGATGGGTGTTTTCTGCCTGTATATGATTTTGTGACTTTTTATTCTGACTAGTTCATAGTCTAAATATCGCCAGCGTGGCGCAGTGGTAATAGCGTTTGCTCAAGGGTCGAAGTAAGAAGTTGATCCTTAAGTCGCAGTTCTGAATCCAACTGTGAGACGTGGAGACCGGTCCTTCGGAGGAGACCGTATAAATAGAGATCCCGTGTTGCAGTAGTTGCTGTAGGAAAAAGATCCCTGCGTGCTCAATGGTTATGACTGCCGTGTATGAAACAAAATTTGCAGCTCTCAACTGGCAAGCGGATGTGAGTGAAACATTATCGCGAGGGACGTTAACAACAATCAATCAATCGATCAGTCATAGTATAAATACCTTTTTCAATAGAAATAATTGAACAATCGTATATGGTTAAGATAGTTCATGAAAAGGATTATGTTTTACTGTAAAAAAAATATGATACCAGAGCAAAATTATTTTTATGACACCCCTAGTACTTTGTTGAAACATTTGCAGATCGACCCTTAATGAAATACAAAATTGAACACTCCTGGCCTGGGGGCCATAAAACTTAGACGATCTCACTTTTGATCTCAGTCTTACTTTTTCTACCATATATTCCTTAAATAAAAGTGAGACTGAGATCAAAAATGAGCTCATCTAAGTTTTATGGCCCCCAGGCCTGATACTATAGTGACAGAAACGGTAATAAATTCATATTTGCAGTGGTAACAAACATGTGTTCCATGTCAAAAATAGAGGGATGCGTAAGTAAATCGAGGAAAAGGGGGGGGGGGGGGTGACAATATGAAAACAATCAGTTAAACGTTGAAAAATTCTAATATTAAGTTGTACTTTCATCAAAAGTAGTTTCCGCGGGAATTGACTGACAAATTTATTGCAACTATGTCATGTATTTTTTCCCCTAAAACGTTACCGCAGTCAAACATCTCTACCTAAAAAAAACCTTCTTGACAAGCAAAAGGGGATCTTTCCACATCGCGAAAAAATCTTTTCTTGGTGATGCTGGGCTCCTGTTTTCTTTGAGGCGGTCAAAAGTCATCTTTAATTGCTTCAGTAAATACATTTAATAACCCTGCAAATCACAGGGGGGAGGGGGGGGTCCCGCCTAATACAACCCTCTACATTTCCACATGACATAGTAATAAATAACCAAGTCTTTAATTTAAACTACATCTTTATAGTGCTGTGTGCTTTTCTAAATAAATGATACGTTAAGGGAAAAAATTGAAAGGAATCACTTCCTTCTATTTTAAATTAAAATAAAGTGTAAAAAAAAAAAAAAAAAAAAAAAAAAACGAATGCGAATAGTGATCGATCTAAAAAAAAATCTGTAATCAATACAAACATGTGAAGAGGACATAAAACGGACCCCTGGAAATTCCGGAGTGGGATCAGATGCCTTGGAGAGGAGTGAGGATCCCCCTGTAAACCTGTCACATCCACCGTGAGCGCTAAATATACTGATCAGAAAGACAGGAATTTTCGTTGTCAATTCAGTATCAAAATAAAAGCCTCACAATTGACTTCAAACGAAGCAGCCAATTAACGAGGCCCGATCTAGTTGATCTGCGCATACGTTTTAACGCAGCGTCGACTCAGGCACGTCACAGTACCCTTGGCTGCCGTCACAATTGAATAAAATAACATAATTAAAATGAAGTCAAATTGCGCTAAAATGTTTCGCTGATCTTGCATACCTGGTAGCTCTATAGACTGTGCATGTTGAAAATTGGCTTATTCTGGCATTTCTATTATAAAATTTACATGTTTAATTTTTTTTAAATTAATAATCAACTGTAGAACATAACATACTTTGAGGTATCAATTTCTTGGTACAGATTCATTAATTTTATCTTGTTTTATTTCAATTAGTGAGTTAGAAAAAACAAACAAACACTGCAACCAAAAGTAAACGATTGTAGTCTTTCTCATGATCATGTTGAAGAGTTTATACACACCCCTTTTTACTGCGGACTTAAATATGTATGGATTAGCTTGAGTTTTAAAAAAATCTCCGAATCATTCAAATGCAACCACCAAAATATTTTATTTTTCTATATAATACATGATATTAGTAAAAATCGTAATTTTGTCGCCTTTCTACCCCCCCCCCCTTTTCCCACGTAAAACAAGAAAACAAATAAAGGATGGAGAGAAAATTATTTCATAATGTAAGAATTATTTAATTTTTCGAAACTAATACAGTACATGTATTTCAATCATTTGTTGACGTTATGCAAACCCTATAAAAATATCTAGCTGGATTAAATAAGTCCTATTTTTGTGTTTTGCTATGTTCCCTTTTCACTGCAATAAAGGCTACCTCCAATTTTCTTTTCATTTTTTAAAAGAGGAATGAAAATCATTCCGTTTTCGTAATTTCCAGCTAGATTGGGCCTCGTTAATACGACCTAGATATAGGCTATATTTGCTAACAAGATCATTAAAACGTTCAGAAAATTTACGAAAATTTACAAAATTACAGCTTTACATTAGGATGCTGAAATCACTTTAACCTCAAAATTTCTTTAAGTAGCATTATTAAATCATTACCGATATATATCTAATACCCTTTAAAAGATACCGTAATGAGCAAGTAAAAGCAACGTAATGCACGAGAAAGGGGAGTGTGAGTGAAGGCTTGCTTTGTTTTGTTTTTACTGAGAAAATTCTTGAACAGAGTAAAATATATTGCCATGTATATGTCCATTCCAAGACAGACTTCCCCTTCCCTTTTCCCCCATAATATTTGGTTGAGTACATTCACTTTGCTGTACGATGCCCCTGTCATCGAAGATTTTTGGGCATATAGTTTTTTTCAGTCCGTCCGTTTGGCGGTCTGTCTAGTCTGTTTGTCTGCTGGTCCGCAAAACTTTAACCTTGCCCATAACTTTTGACTGGATGGGGCTATGGATTTCATATTTTACAAATGTATTCCTTATGACAAGATCTTTCTTTGGGCACCACCAAATTTGACCTTTTGACCTTGACTTTGGAGTTTTTCACACTTTTACACAATAATTCCACACTTTGGCCATTACTGTTTAATGGTTGGTGCTATGACTTTCATACTTCATATATGTATTCTTTGTGACAAAACCTTCCACTGGATATGAACAAAATTGAACATTTGACCTTGAGCTTGGAGGTTGAAATGAATTTGACCAGGGCTTTCATACTTCACATATTTCATCTTCATGACAAGACCTTTTATTGGATACCAACAATTTTGACCTTTTGACTCTCTCCCAGGAGTTTGACCTACTTAAACTTTAAGCTCGGCCATAACTTTTGAAGGGTTAGGGTTAAGACTTTCATACTTTACATGTTTTCCTTGTGACAAGACCTTTCTTTAAAATTCAACTTTGACCTGGAGGTTTACTACCTTTAAAACTTGTACCTTGACCATAACTTTTGAAGATATTGTGCTAGGACTTTCATATTTTACAATTGTATTTTTTGTAAGAAGGCCTTTTTATGGGTACCAACAATTTGGAATTGGATTTGAGAAAATTTGTCTTTCGCTATGTTGTCATATGGGGACATCAGTGTTTCACAAACACATACTTGTTTTTTCTGAGACTGAAATGGATTAATTTATGGAGAGAACTACATGCACCGTAGATAGTAATGATATATGAAGTTCTGATTGTTATAATAAATAACTTTCCAATCCTGTATTGTACAAAATAATGAAGCTGGATAACAAATCATTCTGTTTTCTGTGTCTGCAGATTTAATTTCATTGATAAGAGTTTTGTTAACCACGAAATTAAATCTGCACAAGTATATTCCTTCAACCCCCACCCCCCGAAAATACGCCCCGTTAAGTAACAAATCATAAAACAGCAAGGATCGCTCCAAAATACAGCGTCGCAGAGGTGGACGTCTGAACTTAATGAATATGTTCTACGTTTACTAGTAACATAACTTGGTGAAGCGGTTTATGAAAGAGCGTAAACTGCATCAAGTTATGTTATGGGTTAAAAGAAGATTTATTCCTTATGATTTAATTTCAGTGTAGACAATAAGACATTTTTTTTTACAAAAATGGCTTCAATTTGAGCATTTATTTTAAAAGTAACGTTAAGCGGAGTAATACGTTTTTGACATAACTCATTGTGACAAAGACATGTGTTATACAATATAAAATAAATCATTTATCCAATCAAATGACAAGTAGATGTATTATACATAGTTGTTGCAAGTAATGACTTTGGTGGGGGAAGGGGGTCAAATAATAATGAACAAAGATGTTAAATCATTTTTTATTTCATGTTACGCCAGGAAATCTTATTGTTTATATTGGGGTAATCGCTCTTATTACATCTCATAGGAGAACATGTATTTATATTATGGCCAACATTTTCACAAAACTTGTTGTACATGTGCTTGAATTCTTTAAAAAGAAGTACATATTGTATTCAATATATAATCAGAGTGCAAACGTATGTACGTAACACAAACAGTAAAATAAAACAAAATTACTTTATCATAATTATTTTTCCTAAATACACACAGTAAAAGAAAGCAAAATTACTTTATCGCAATTATTTATCCTAATTATAATTTTTTTGAAAAAACTATTGAGTTTGAGCTTCTTGGTTAGAAAATAATTTTATAATTAACTGGTTTTCTTAAAACATTTCTGCTTCAATCCTTTTTGACTGAATAAGCGTTTGGTTTTTCCACCAGAGGAGCTATGACGGAGTAAAGGTATTAATCGTGCAATAGTCTGTGGGATCCTGCCAATCACACTTAGCGTCGCTCTCACAATTAGCTGCATTAGTATATTCTGCACAGGTACAATTATCTGGATAGGCACGACAAAGCTCCCTTAGAAACTCTGCAATATAAAAATATATATATATCCATTTGTCACCCACTATTTTTAATACAGTATTTAAACTGAGTATCAAATAGCCCAGAATAACAGGATTGTAAATAGGCAAATTTTTTGATATTGCATTATATTTTTAAAGTGATTTTCAAGGAACGCCAACCTTTTTTAGAAAGTTTAAGTTAGCCTATCTACAAAGTCTTCTTCATAAAAGTATAAATATATATACCATATAGATCAACCGAAACTTCACTTGTCTAAGTGTAACCTCAATAAAATATAATTTTTCCCAAGAATTTGTCATTAAGGCATTGCTGATTTAACAAGTTTAGTCACAAAAAAATCAAAGTACATGTACCTAAAAAGTAATTAATTAAATTACAATTACTTTGCAAAAGTAATTAATTGAATTACAAGTACTTTGCAAAAGCAAATAATTAAATTACAATTTACAAATGTCTTTTTTTTTTAAATCCTTGTCAATGGATATACAGAACTACACTCATTTGTATATAAGCTCAGCCTCTGCACAAACAATACAATAATTAAAATGCTATACCTATTGTGCATCTTTGTGGTTTAAACTTTAGTTAGTTTAAGAAGTATTTTATTCATAATATACAAAGTGTACAATATGAAAATGGATTGAACAGCAGGCCAAGGGCCTACATTAGTTCTCTCCGTTTGAGATCAAGGTACAATTAAATTACTGTACATATTTTAAGTTCCACAAAACGTGTATTATAAATTATTATTGAGAGAATTATAAAGAATACATAATTGAAGAAAATTGAGGGAAAAAATGCATAAAGAAACAATAAAATAAATTTAAAAAAAAACCTTTTATTTACAAAACATTAAAGAACTATATCCAAGATCAGTTCGATGCAGTTTCTTCCACGCAAAATTTACATGTACACAAATTACATGGCAAAAAAAAATAAAATAAAAAAAAATAAATAAAAAGTCCCAGAATAATGCATACACACTACCCCGGATTGAAGAAATGTTGGATTGTTTAGCGGGGACAATATACTATGATTGTGCACTGCATAAAGTAATTGGCTGTAACTGAAAAAATAATTGATATTACATGGTATTTTTTTCCGTGTAATTAATTAAATTACAATTACAAGTAATTGAAAAAATGTTCAATTACAAATTACTTCCAATCACTTAAAAAATGTAATTAATTACAGTTAATAACAATTATTTATTCAATTACCCCATCCCTGATTTGTGCATGATACCACAGAATGGTATTTCCTACATAATCCTTTTGGAAATCCTTTTTGAGTTACTTATTTTATAAGAGAAGTTGAATAGAATTTAGAAAAAAATTATGATAGAAAGAAAATAATAATTAATTTTTTATTACAAAGAGATTCAAAGCAGATATTTAAAAGGAACCTGTTATTGTAGTGTCCCATACAAAGTTAATATCGGATTTAACCACATGTACTGATGTAACACAAACTAATCAGCCATTACTTTTATTTATAACATCAACTTCCGGTTGAGTACAAAGGGAGATAATCACAATTAAATAAATGAGAGTTATCTTTCTTAGATCACTAAATATAAGTTTACTATAATAATCATACACTACAATCCTCCCCCTTTTCATTTAAACAAATATCGATTATTTCAATTAAATTGTAAATGGACAAATCTATTTAGCAATTAACTTTAACACAGTCAATGAATCATTACAGTGTTTATAAATCATTGAAAAATATGTGAACAAAGGTTTAAACAGAACATGTTATTTCATTACATAGTCCTTGAATTTCACCGGCAAAGAGCGTTGACGAACTGGTCGGGCTAATTGCGGTGAACTTGTCGTCGGATCTTGAACATTGCTGTCGGATTCCTCTGCTGATGAGTTTCCTGATGACGCTTCCTGGACATCATCTGAAATCGCACTTTTATCGCTCGCAATTTGATTTGGAACTGAATTTCCTGAACACAAATCTTCATTTCCATTGGAATTTTCACTTAACACATTTTCATTCACATTTTCACTTGACACATTCACAGATTCCTTAGAATTCACAAACTTTTTCAAATGAGACACATTTCTTTTGTAATGAACTCCCTCCATGGATTCTAACACAACACTATTTCCATTTTTCTCGACAACTTTGAATGGATCACTATGAAATGTTGTAGATAACTTGTTTTCCTTGTTCTTCTTCATCAAAGCAAGATCACCAGGTTTTATGTCGCTAAGTGTAGCTCCTCTCTTAGCATCAGAATACATCTTCCCTTTTGCCTTCTTCTCCGCATCTCTATCTCTAACTCGGTAATCTGTCTCACGATAAGTGTGGATGTCTGGTAGTTTTGTACGAATAACTCGACGGAACAACAACTCGGCCGGACTCACTCCTGTTGTGGTATGTGGTGATGAGCGATACATCAGCAAATAAGTCTGAAGTTCCGATTTCCAGTCTTTCTTTTCTGCTTGTGCAATCTTCAGTCTCTTCAATATTGATCTGTTCTGGCGTTCAATTTCTCCATTGGCCTGTGGCCACAATGGGGTGGTCTTCCTATGGACTATTCCATTTATTTCACAGTAAGTTTTGAAATATTCGCTGACAAACTGTGGTCCATTGTCTGTTGTAATAGAAACAGGTAATCCATGTGTACTGAAGATCTTTGTCAACACTTCGACCATTTTCTCCGCCGTTGTAGATCTCATCACAGCCAGATCAATCCATCGTGAATAATAATCGACGATAGTAAAAATGTAGTCTCCCGATGGTAACGGTCCTAGGAAATCAGCTGCTAAATGTTCCCATGGTCGTGATGGTAGTTCTGTTCTGTGCATAGGTTCCACTTTTTCAGGTTGTGATACTAGCTGACATCCATAACAAGCTTTGTTCCACTGTTCAATGTCTTGGTCCATTTTAGGCCACCAAACTTTGGATCGCAATCGCTGCTTCATGATAACAATTCCAGGATGTCCCTCATGACCTAGTGCCAGTACTTGGTCGCGTAATGACTTAGGTATGACAATCCTTGTCCCTCGTAGTATCAGATGTCCAACAGTACACAATTCTGATTTTACTGTCAAAAAGTCTTTGTTCTGTAACTGATACCATTTCCCTGTTATCAAGCATTCTCTCAAGTTCTTGAGATCCTCATCCTCCAGTGATGCTCTCTCAAGCTCAGATACGGTCATTGCGATTGGAACAGCTTCCTCAATCACAAAGCGTAAGTATTCCTCAGTATCACTCGTCTTCGGATTTGGTGTATCTGTTGACAACATCCTTGACAATGAATCAGCTATGTTTGATTTACCCGGAATATGACGAACTGTGTAACTGTAGTTCTGCATCCTTAATAACCATCTTTCTACTCGTGCACATGGTTTCGATTTGGGCGAGAAAATAAATTCAAGTGGCTTATGATCCGTTAACAGCTCAAAAGTCTTCCCCATCAGGTACATGTGAAACCGCTCACACGCCCACACTAAGCTGAGTGCTTCCTTCTCGGTTTGTGCGTATCTGCGTTCGACGTCTGTTAAGGATCTACTCGCATAGGAGATAATCTTAGGTTTCCCGTGTTGTTCCTGGACTAATACAGCGCCTAAGCCGACTGGACTTGCATCTGCAATAACTTGTGTTTTGGCATTCACATCAAAGTAGGCTAAAGTTGACACATTAGCTAAACAGTCTTTAAGTTTGTCAAATGCTTCGTTTTGCTCTCATCCCCATGCAAATGACTGGTCTTTACGCAAAAGTCTGTTTAAGGGTTCTGCTACAGTGGACAGGTTTGGTATGAATCTGCCCGCGAAATTGACTAGTCCCAAGAAGCTGCGCACCTCAGATACTGACTGTGGTGTCCTGGCACTCCTAATAGCCTGAACTTTGCTGTCTGCTATTCCGATACCATGTTCAGAGAGTACGTATCCCATGAAATCGATCTTCTCCATATTGAATTGACACTTCTCAATGTTCAAAGTCATTCCTGAGTCTTCTAAACGTTTCAACACTGATTCTAGGTTACGTCGATGCTCTTGTTCTGTTGATCCATGGACCACAACATCATCATATATTGCATTCACACCAGGTAAGTCTCCTAATGTCTGTTGAATGATTTTGTTATACATTTCAGGAGCACAGCTCACTCCAAACAACAAACGTTTGTATCGATAAAGTCCTCTTGGTGTCATAAAGGTAGTTATTTCTCTAGAGTCTGGGGTAAGCTCTAACTGATGATAGGCCCACTTGATATCTAGTTTACTGTAAACTTTGCTCTGATTCAAGTCCTGCAAGATTTCGTCGACAGTAGGAATTTGATATCTCTCACGAACGACTGCCTCGTTAGCTCTTCGCATGTCGACACATATGCGAATATCTGAATTCTTCTTTGGTACAACCACAATAGGTGATACCCACTGACTTGGCCCTTTTACTCTCTCGATAACATCCATCTTCTCAAGTTCATCCAGTTTCTGGTCTAGCTTACTGCGTAAATGGTACGGTACTCTACGTACGGACTGAATTACAGGATGTACGGACTCATCAATTGGAATTTTAAGTTGGAAGTCTCTCAGTTTTCCAAGTCCTGTGAACACTTTCGGAAATTTCCCTAGTATCTCTGTTTTAATATCTGTGCTATTCACAGTGTGCACTGGTGCAACAGTACTTGTCTCTTGAATCTGTAGTACTCCAAGCTGGGTAGAAGTATCATAGCCTAGGAGAGCTTGTCCACTTTCTTCTACAACAAAGAACTCCGATGACACACACCGGTCTCGCGTACACACATCAGCAACAAAACTTCCTGCGACAGTCAGTGGTTTGTTACTACCATAGGGATACAGTTTCTTTGTCGATGCTTTCGACTGTCTGTGACATTTCACTTTTTGTTCCTTGAGTTGTTCCCATAAGTGTCTGTCAATAACATTCACTGAAGCTCCTGAGTCGATGATGACTTTTGTATCAATACCGCCAATACTAACACTAAAGTCATTCTTTGAACGATCCTGGTTCCGAATAGTAAACACATAAGTTCTCTCAGACTCCTCTCCTTGTTCTACTTCTGAAGTTTCAATATTTCGGACTGCTGCCCTCTTGGTTTTGTGCCACTTTGTCTTTGACTTGGTCTTGCAGCATGCTTCATAATGTCCTTCCATGTGACATTTCCGACACTTCTGTCCTCGTGCTGGACATTTCGGATCCGTGCGAATGTGACCATATTTACCACAAGCAAAACACTTTTTGTCTTGTTTATCCTGTTGCTTAAAGTCATGTTTATGTTTGTATCTACTCACTTTGTTTATGGTTTCTTGTTCTGGTTTGTGTTCCATAGTCACTGCTCTTTTGTCAGCTGCTTCCAAACTCTGTGCTGTTTCTCTCAGTTGTTTCAGTGTCACATTATTTTTCTCTAACAATTTCCTTCTCAGTCTTTGAGAATAACACTTCTCTATCACTTGATCACGTATACTTTCATCAATATTCGTAAAGTTACAATAAACAGCTTTCTGTCTTAGTCTAGTGATAAATTGTTCAACAGTTTCTGTCGCCGTTTGTGCCATAGCGCGAAATTGTGATCTTTCAAACGTGTGATTTACCTGAGGAGTGAAATGTTTATTCAATGTCTCTAACGCCACGCCATACACGTTTTCTCCATCACCCGGTTCGGGGACTTCTAGCGTGTAGAAAATATCCTGTACGTCCATCCCTGCCTCATGTAACATTAAAGCTTTCTTTTGCGCTGGGTCTTCTATTCCCTTTCCGCTTGCAAAGAGCTCAAATGCACGTGCCCACCGTGTCCAACGGATTCCTACCGAATTCACATCTCCATGTGGGTCAAACTTGTCAATCCTACTCACATCTGTCAAAATAGGTTTCGCATCTGCCATTGCTCGGCTCTGGTTTATTCTCTGGTTTATCCTCGTCGCCAGATGTAGTGTCCCATACAAAGTTAATATCGGATTTAACCACATGTACTGATGTAACACAAACTAATCAGCCATTACTTTTATTTATAACATCAACTTCCGGTTGAGTACAAAGGGAGATAATCACAATTAAATAAATGAGAGTTATCTTTCTTAGATCACTAAATATAAGTTTACTATAATAATCATACACTACAGTTATTACCGTCTTCCTTGGAAGACGGTATTATATAGTTGAAGTTTTTAACAGTCTCCGGACTATGCACTTCCTCTCTTTTGTGATTGGTAGAAATTGCATGATGAGAAAATTTTCAATTATTTCATTGGTTGAAATGCTGTTCAGGGCAAGGGAGATAACTTTCTGATGATCTAATTTTCGTATGACTTAACAATTTTGCAAGATTTTAAATCTTAAAAAGAAAAATGACAAAACGAACAACAAAATCAGAAGTAATTATATTCTTAATAACATGATATTTTTTATAGCAATAACTTAAAAGGTCTTTTTAATTTCAGTGTAAATAAATTTGATTTTTATTGCTTGCAGGCTTTAAAATTTGTTATTTTTCTTTTCCCCTTTCTTGTTTGAAGAAGTAACGGAATCGGCCGAGGTTTGCCGAAAGCTCTCGGTCAAAGTTTACGGAGATGACCGAGCGACAATCATGGTTGGGCTAATGCCAGTAAAATGCTAGTGTAGCAATAAAAAATTCAAAAGAAGTATACGGCCTGATAGCTATAGGCGTAGATCAGTTTACTGTTTAAGGTTGTTGCTAAAGACGGTAAGCTTTTTTAAAAAGCTCTACTTGTCGGACCATAATCATCAAAATGATATCTTACCACATTCCGCAAGATACCGACCCTCACTTTCTTAATGAAATCTTACCACTTTCCGCAAGATCCCGACCTTCACCTTCATAATGATATCTTACCAACTTCCGCAAGATACCGACCTTCACTTTCATAATGAAATCTAACCACAAACCGCAAGATCTTAATCTTCACATTTATCTATTACAACCTTCTGTAAGATCCTGACCTTAACCTTCAGAATGATATTTTATCACACTCCGCCTGATCATGCCCTTAACCTTCATAATAATCTCTTACCAAATTCCGCACTATATATTCCACAAGATCCCGACCTTAACCTTCAGAATGATCTCTTACCACATTCCGCAAGATCCATGTTTGTGTTTTCCAGCTCCTGTTGCACCTTAAAATACGCCTCCTCACATTCACCCCATTCTTTCCTACATTTTTCCTCCTCCTCCTCAACTTTTGTCAAGTCGTTCCTACAATCTTCGAGACGACTGATTTTCTCCTCGCAATCCCTTAAATTTAGCCTTAGTCGTTGGAATAATGCAAATAAATAAGAATTAGCGGCTCCAGCTGTAAAGAAAATTTTCATTTTTTTAAAAATAAGTGGAAATTCATATTATTGTTTATATGTAATTACACTGTATAGAGGACTGTTTTCGCCGGACTTTTCTGTTTCCGCCTTTTCAAATTTTAAAAACATGTTTGACCGTATAAAATTGACCCACACACAATAATAAGAAAATGTTGTTGTCTTTGGATTGGGCTTTTAGATCATTAGTCCACTTGCGTTGTTCGTGGATGGGGTCAGTTAAAATAAACAGCTGTTACATTTTTTTTTCTATATTCAGCATAAACAATTTAAGTAATCATAAATATAACTTTTGAAACAAAGAAAAAAATTATTTATTTTGAAATACCTGAAATGCCCAAAGCCGCTAGAACACCAAGGGAAGGGAGTTCAGATCCAGTCTGCGCGTTAATGGCGCTCAAAGTAAGGAACAAGAAGCCAATCAAAAACAGTGTTTTATCCATGATGATACGGTAATTCCAGGTTTCCTATTGGATGAAAGGGACGCTAATTTTCTGTAACATAACGATGTACTTAATGTGGACCTATTTAAATTAAACTAAATACAGATATCTACGGTTAATTCACTTCGAAGCAATGAAGTTGCTACCAATCTATACTCTCGATGTTGGCATCTTACTTCACGTAAGTTTTCGAGTGGATTGATTCTCCATGTAATATTGTTCCAGGTAAATCTGAGTTGCATGTATAATACATACAGGCCCCAAGAACATAAACTGAGATCAGACTTAAGTCAAAATTTTGATTTATAATATCTTAAGTTTTGTTGAATGTATTTGCTTCAGAATTAAAAATTTGATAATTTAATAATCTGATTATCAAAATTATTTCATGTTACATTGGTTTGAAATTTTGACTTAAGTCTGTTCTAGGTTTATGGTCTTGGGGCCAGGAATGTTCTTCAAGAAATGCTTCAAATGTATATTTTTCTGGATTAGCTTATGGGTCAGATCTGTAGGTCTAGCTTGCATACAAGCATAATGCAACTAAAACAATGATTCAAACTTTTTAACAGAAAATTTTTAAAAAATAAAAGAAATTAATAAGCAGAGTGATATCATATGATTAGGAAAATCGAAGAAATTTTACACAAAGATAAAAAACAACCTAAATAACCAATGATAGGTTATCTTTGTCATAATAACGACCATATTATAATTATTCATGAAATACTTTTTAACAAGATTGCTGATGTCCCTGTTGCATTTTTGTGTAATCTGCTTTAATTTAAGGGTCATAAACCCTTTGTTCACTTATACAAAATGTTGCTTGAACCTTAATGATTTTCCAGAAGAAATGTATTTGTTAAGTTAACAAGAAGACACTCCAACTTCGCAGATCTATAAAGGAATAATAGCCATTTCTGTCACTTAGAGTTAACTCCCTTATCAGAGTATCAATGAATCTTAAAAATTGATCATATTCTGGGTATGCTCTTGAGTAATAAAACATTTGATAGATGCCAACACCATATGCAGGTAGTTTTAGCTGCAATGATTTAGTTACAATGAACATGTCTGGGTTTTATTTTTACTGAATCTTCATTTTCTATTAACTTTTGTCTGGGAATGAATACGAGGGCTGTTCAATAAATAATGTCCTGAAATCTATGACATACACTGTACAACATAGAAATCATATGACATTAAACTTGACTTTCTCTCATGATTGAATCTTTAATGAATTGATAACAGTTTATGTGACTTTTCATCGCATAGTTTCATTGTGAGAAGCTGAGAAATAAGGGTTATTCGAGATACTGCGTTAAAAATGAATGGTAGAGAATCTATAAAGTAGAGTAAAATTAAACGCTTCATAAAAACTGCTGTAAAACTTGTTAAGAATCCCAAAGAAATATTCACTAAAATATATGAAATTTACAACAACCAATGTCTGTTTTATAGATACATAAGCAGGTGGATTTCACTGAAAAAAATTATATAATGGGCATGTTTGATTGACATTAAAACACATAGCAAATTAAAAAGGCATCATTTTGGGGGTACTTCTTGTTGTTTCAAAGAACCATTTGACAGTGAAAAAGCTAGGTACTCAATGGTCACTCTATTTTTTTAAAAAATAAGTGAAAACGACACCGTGTAAGAATATCTAAACAATTATTTTTTAAAAATCAGCAATTGTACTTTTCCACCTTTGTCTGAAATTCAAACAGATAATGAAACTTGAATCCATTGCTTTATTACCTTCAAAACATTTTTGAATGAGATGCACTTGACAAAAACAGCAATTAAAGATCTGAAAAGAGCAAAGAATTACAGACAAAGACAGTTTTACATGTCATTTTCTTAAATATGAGGTCTTTTTGTTCAAATTCGTATTCGGGAAGGCATTTCAATTTCTGGAGGAGTCTAGAAAGCAAATTTATTGCAAAAATCTCGAAAGGTTTATACGAGAAAGGACCAAGAATCAGGAATCCACTACATTTAATTTCTTCAAGACAGCGTCCAAACCCACGCATCCTGAAGAGTAATGGAGTTTGGGGGATAAACAGAACGTCAATTTCTTGTCACACCAATAATAGTAGCCAGATCTTTCACCCTTTGTCTTGTTCTATTTTCCAAACTTGAAAAAAAAACACATTTCAGAAAGAAGAAACAAGTCCAGGAAATCATAGGATCTGCTATATTCCATTATACGAAGGGCAATACTCAAAATGTTTTCTAAAAACAATCAGAAATTGGACAAAAATGTTTCGGACATATGTTTTCATAAAAAGAAAATATTTAAATGAAACCCTTAAGACTAAATCACTGAAAAGTGTTGTTTCTCTCCGAGCACCGAAGACATTATTTTTTGAACAGCCCTCGTACATGTAACATCTGTCGAGGTGAGTTTTATATATATTTTTTTATGATACATGCATATATTTTTCTTCAATAAAGAAAAATGTAATATACATCTTAACGAGAGTTTCATTCAAATATTTTTAAGTGTTATTCCTGTGTGTCAATCGCAATGTTTTGATATTTATTCAAAATGAAGTTTTAAAAAAAACAACATTTTAAAGCAAGAGATATCTTCAGTTTTAGTGAGAGGTAAATAAAATGTACCGTTTAACATACTGTAAACAATTAAAAGTATCTTTATATGAAGTACTGTAAACAATTGAATGTGCCTTTTCTTATTAAGAGACAGATTATGACTTAAGATAACCCAAGGCACCTTGCTTATGTAACTTTGTCACTCTGCCCTAGCTAACACTCATCTAAGCTGTAGGTATAAAAACATGAATTACATACCGGTATATCAACGCGTCTTGTATACTTTATATCATTTATACATGTGTCATAGAAAAAAATCTATACCTGCGTTATAATCCCTTCTTAAAAGTGAATGTATTGAGATTTAATTCTTGCAGTAAATTTGAAATATATCTATTCAGTCGATTCAAAAACACGCATACATTCGTATTATTTATGCTGATCTATTATTTTAGCTAACTGATTTAAAATTAACAGGTATAATTAAATAATGTTAAATAAGGTAAATTTAGGTAGATGTAACATTGAGATTACAAATCAAATGTTAATATATTTTATAGAGCATATTTACTGTATATATTAATTGAAAACATTTACTTAAATATACCTTATTTTTGTGATCATGTATCATATCCATGAATATATTTTTTATATAGACAACCTATGAATAAGTAAAGCTAGAGGAAAATATCATGAAGAATATAAAAGCGGCAATCAAAGGCAAATAGTTTTAAAGACTTACAATTTTTCCCGTAAGTGTCAGTCCAGTCTGAACAGTAATTTTCTATACATTTTTTGTGTTTTTACGTATCACTTTCAGTCGACGACAAGGCTTGGCTCGTCATCATGTTTCTACTCAATCAGAATACGGAAACGAAAAAAACATGTAACATGCTTGTTCCTAATAATCATTTTGTCCATGGATTGTACCGTATAGTACTTTAACATGTCTGTGATAAATAAATACCCAGATAAACTTAAAACCTTAAGGAGGCTAGGGGGTCAACAAATTATATTTTTTTTATTAACCACCAAATATAACTTATTCTTTTAGATATGATATCTAAGAAAAAATTCCTAAATTTTAGTTTTAAAATTTGATCATTTTATTATATCTTTCAAATGAATATGACTACGGAATGTTTCGTGTACCTCATCAAAACTTAGGTTCACAGCTCAGTGACCCTGAGTGTCGTCTCCATATGAGTGAAAATTTTTCGAGACGGACGTTAAACTATATACAGCGAATCAGTCAAAATGGTAATAAAAAGTTTTTTTTTGAAAGTGTAGCTGAGTGCAATTCTGGGTAGAGGGGGGGGTTCTCCATGTAATTCTGAATTCGATTACTTGTGTTATTATTATCCGTTGGGTTTAAAAAGAATGTAAGAAAACATCATTCCATCTTTAAAAGTTCAACAGGAACTTTATTGATTTTTTTAAAAAGAGTACTTGTACCTTTTGGCCTAATCTAAATTTAGTTTATTATCCATTTACAGTGTTTATTTTAGATGTTTTTTGTCCGTTTTTAGGTCTCTGCCTGCACCAGATATCTCGTTGAAAAGGTGCCAAAATTAATATATTTGGGGACGCTTCGGACTAAGAAACCTTTCTGCCTGTCGTGCATGTCGTATATCACCCATTCTCAATATAAGGGCACAAACGCCTCTCTGATTTTTTAAAAAATGAAGTTCAAGAAAACAATTTTTCTATCAATTACCTTTGAAGGAAAGTATCTGAAGATTTTGTTTCCAGATTTTTTTTCATCAAATTATAATACATGGAATAATGACAAGACGATAAAGCAGAGGGTGATTTTATTCAGAAATGTAGCTTGAAATGTACGTTACTCTTTCTTCAATGTCCAAAAAGATTTGTAAAAAAAAATGTAGTCATTAAAATCACAATTGGAATAGCTCATCTTAACACCAGCACATCCTACCAACTCTGTCAGCAACATATTTTCTCAGCATACGAACGTGCGTTTGATTTTTCCTTTCAAAAAACAATGGTTACTTTTTGATCCAGATGTATAAAAACATTTTTTAAATATATGCTTTAAATTCTTCTCTCTGTTTTGTTTAGAGCGATCAGTTTTGGAATCTTGTCATTTTCTATAGATACTGGGACCTAACATGTACATGTAGTAAAATTCTATTTTGTAGTTACTGTCTTTTTTAACATATATCCATGCCGATTTAGAAATCTACGTAAATGTAACGTACATTTCAAGATATATTTCTGTTTAATAAAAAGCTTAAAATTCATCTAAAAATTCAACGTTTTGTTTCAGTTTATTAAAAAAAGATTCTCTATGTAATCACATTGTGTTATATGTCGCAATCACAACTATAAAGACACGATTGCCTCAGAATATGAGTAGGTAACGTACATTTCAAGCTTGTAATAATATGTAAATTAGTAATAAGAAAATTTTGAAAAAAAAGCAATTATGGACATAAAAATCATTTTAATGAAGCGTTTTAAGGCAGTAATATAAGAAATCATAATGTAACAAACGAGGTTATTTGTCATCAACTACATGAATGTCACGTCACTTCGGTAACGTTCATTTCACATATTATTGGAGAGTCCCCTCCACCTCAGTTCATTACCATTCTTTTGTGCTGTTTCGCTGAAATTGACACCGGTCGTAGCCTAGTTACCTCTACCTGTGAGCAAGGGTACAGACAAAAAATATAAGAGTCAGACGTATTTTGCTATGATCTAACAAATGCTCGTGTTTGGCCATTGAAACTTAACATAAATCTAATCCGAATATATCGATCGACAGTTTGTTAACAATTTCATTTAGTATGTTGCAACATCGTTTTTCAAAACACAAACATATGTGCTTTTCAGCAGATCTGGAAAAATATAACCCAAAATGCAATAATTCAAACAAAACTGAGTATTGTGTGCTTTTCAGTATTTGAAATGTACGTGACCGTCTTGTGTTCTGGGTTTAGGCCTATTTATTTCTTTTTTTTTTCTATTTTTTGTTTCTTTTTTTTACCAATTATAAGCCTATGCATACCTTGTTTTAAATTATCAACAACAATTTAATTAATATTTACGAAAAGTCGCATATTAAAAGTAAACAAACTGCAAAAAGGTTGCCAAAAATGAATTTAAGACACTTTGAAAAAAATTTTCTAGGATGTGGTAACAGTCTAAAACATTTACGAGGATTAGGGGTGCATTTAGATGGATTTATGTGGCCAGTTGTCAAATGGATTGTAACGATAATTTTGTTTCGCTCGTGTAAACGCAATTCATTGATTAAAGAAAAAAAAATTTCAGTTAGAAATACGTAAAATGTACGTTACCATACGTAACGTACATTTCAAATATAAAAATCAATTCTCTTCCACAAGCGTACGTTAGACACGCAATATATTGATACTATTTGAACTTGCATATCATAAGAAATGCATCATACAGGTTTCGTATTCAGAAATATATACCAGGTATCAAAATTATATTACATATAATTGACCTTAATATATTTTTTTTCCTCAGCAGAAACGTTTCTTTTCATTAATTTTGGGATTTAGCCGACCTCCAACCTTTGAAACTTTCCTTTGTGTACATATTCGAGTGTATGAAAGTATGAGAATACATGAAAATTCGTGCGAGATTCACTTAATTCGAATTTCATGGTAACGTACATTTCAGTCACGTACATTTCAAATGATCACTTTTCATGTAAAAAATAACTTTTAATTGTGTTAAGCAAAACGTCTTTGCCAGTTTACAGGATACAAGGGGTTGCTTATTCAGAGTCGTCTCATATTTTCTACTTAATATATATTCTTAATGGAAGAATATAGGTAACGTACATTTCTTTCTTATCTCTACGATTGAAAATGTCTTTCATTCCGTAAACATATTTATAAAAGTTGCTCAAATTGTTCAATTTCATGTTACATTATCTAAGTAGGAGTAATTAATCTATTGAAATTTCAAATTTAGCCCATCAATAAATAAAGGAGAACAAAACTGTCAGGTGTATAATCTTTGTGTTTGCTTGTAATGTGGTTGAAATAGAATTAAGCGACAGGGACATTGCACAATAAAAATTATTTATTATCACAAAGAAAATGTATTTATTGTTATGAAAAGAAATATATATGATACAAGGTTTAACTTATCAGAAAATTTTTACTTAAGAATCAAAACTATATTTTACACAGAGGGGATTCAGAAAAATATTTGCCTCGGCGACAGTAACGTACATTTCAAATAGGCTACTATATTTGAATTTGGAACTTCTTAAATACCCTTTCAGATCGATAATTATACGAATTCTTATTCATTGTTATATGACTATTTATAATGTTGATTTAGAAATTACATCAGTGGTATTTCTTTTAAATGAAAATGAGGCGACATCATTTGAGCCCTTATATTGAGAATGGGTGATATGTGTCCCCAAAGACTCTGACAGGTGCAGTAGAAAATGACTAAAACTGTAAAATATTCGGGTGCATTGTAAGTCCAGGTTCCTAAAATTGATAGTCTTTGGGTTTTTAAGAAATGCCAATACCTTCCAAAACGTTTATAAGTTTATTATCTTAAAAAGAACATAAATTGTACATTTTTCGTGAAAATAATTATCGATGACTTATCCTTGCACTGTCAGTAGAAATATATCAGGGCTATGAATAAGAGGGATTCTATGATCAAATTGAAAGATTTTAATTCTGGTAAAAAAGTCGCTGCAAAGTTTATCATTAAATCAAAGTTATGATTATCTCGAATACAATATTGTTTACATACATGTTTTGCTTACTTTTGAATAAAAAAAAACACAACTTGAATCATATCCCGTTGTCATCGCTTTCTTCACAAATATTTTCGGGATAGGAAATTTGTTCTAGGTGTAACTCACATACGACAGCGCTTTTGTACCTTTTTACGTGTTGTTATTTATTTTATAACTTATAAGAACACAATTTTTTGGGTAGGCCAGGGGGCTCCTACCCCGACTCTAAACAGAGTGCCCCTTCTGGATCCGCCATTGATGTCTATGCAAGGAATAGAACCTGGATGATATATGTCTTAGGCAATTTCTCAAGTAACTAAAGTAAAGAGACCATAATTAAATATTGGATCCATCATACACAATATAATATGAAAAGCAAGAATATCTTGAATGGTATCTGCGTAATTACTGATAAAATAAAATGTGGGAGATAAAATAAAAAAAAAATCTTGGGTATTTACAAATTATTAAGCTGCTGATAACGTACCCGAAAAATTGCTTTGCAACCCCGTTACAAAAGGTGTAGTCACGTAACCTTATTATGAAAGGTGTACCCGATTCACATAAAGGGTCCCTTTGCTCTACACTAAACAAAACTACTAAGATTCACTCTAATAAATGTACTTATTCAAAACACTAACTGAAAGAATAGCATGATATTTTAAAATTAATATATTACATTAACCTTATTAACAATGATTGAAAGAAAATCAATTATCATCGACGTAACCAGTGTTCCATTACGAAGCTGAAAAACAATAAATCTATACTTTGCAGCACGTGTTTTGTGACAGTTCTCAATTTTTAATTTAAAAAAATTGGTTTAACTGGTTACTTACTTTTACTCACTTTTATTTAACTGTTTATTGTCCTTGATATTACTTTTAAGAATTAACAACCAGTATAAAAACCCATTTTAACGCATTTTTCTATAGGTTGCAGGTCATTTTTATCGAGAACTTATCACAATTTTAATGCTTTGGACAAAGAACTACGAACGATAGTATTGTTCTCCCGCCTACCTCTAAGTGAATTCTCGAAAGTTAACATATTCGAATGATTTTCAAAAATTTTATAAATA